GCGGAGCGTTTTCAGCTGCAAAGTCCAAGAAACACCGTAAATACCGATGCGGTCGACCTGTGCGCGGCGCGCGTGAACAGCACGTCGGAGCCAATAACAATATAGGATTACGGTTTCCTGAAAGCCTCTGTTGGCTGGAAGGTCGATGCCAACAAGCAAGTGCTTTTGCCTCGGAGAGTTTTATGTGCAGAGCGTCTGGGGCTTTGGGGAATAGAGCAGGATTTGTAGGGACTGGTCGTTTTCTGTGCAGTTACTTACACAGCATCCATGCGTTTCAACAGCCTGCATTTGCGGTCTTGCAAGGTTGAGCACAGTCCTGCGAGCGTACAGCGAGGCCTTCGAAAGCCAGAATCTTGTACGTCCGGCCGTCATGCTCCTCTCCTTGTGTGATGTGCTTGTTTCAAGCTATCTAAACCTAAATCTATCTATCTGTATATATATATATATATAGAAAAAACATACACATAATCTACAAGTATGTATACATATATATATATACATACACACCCGCCTCTCAGTCTTAGCAGTGGGACTCCTGCAGCATGCTGCCAATGGCCAGGGGTCTCACTGGCAGCTCGCAGTGGCATTGTCCAGCGCTCGGCAATCTCTGCAGGATGGATTCAACAGCTTTCGACGCCAAAGCCTGGGGATCAAAGTGCCTGCCGCAGCTTTTCCTGCGTCACCAAGGTACATGTACTCATTGCTATCAGGCATATGTCAGTGAGAACCATAAGAAGAACGATGGTCAAGGACTGGGTGGTACAGATACTAATGGTAACAGCAACAGCTCCGAAGTGCTAACAAAGCTTGTTACATAGACTGCTTGAGACGGACGTCAAAAGGGGAATTGCTCGAGGACTTTTATTCTGATAGCTGCTGCGTTGGCAATCTCCCAGAGAGCACCTTTCGCAGCTGGTTTACTCTATGGGATCCGAAGCTCATCTCCGAGCCGGATGTAAGAGCAGCAAGGTGCTCAAGTGAAACTCCATGTTGAGAGCACTTGTAGAGGTCGTTCTCATGGATGCAAGCAAACTTCGATCAGGATCCCAATAGGTGAAGAATCCTGGCTTCCAGAGCCGGCCTCGAATGCACCGGCCATGGCTTTACCTGGCGGCTGTGCGGGATCCTCGCTCGCACGACTTGAGCTTTGTGGAGTCGAACTTAGGAGCTAGATCCGGTTGCTTGTTTGCATTTCAAGACGATCGCCCGGACAGCGATAGCAACGATACTCATACGGCTGCCATCGCCGTCAGCATTGACTTGTCCCAACGAACGGGCGGCCACGGCACAGCAGCAGAAACACTCCTGCTACCGACATTAGTACCAGTCGCTACAATCACATTCTTCACCATCATTATGTCTTCTTCTTCAACAACAACAACAACTACTACTACTACTACTACTACTAGTACTAGTACTAGTACTAGTACTAGTACTAGTACTAGTACTACTAGTACTATTACTAGTACTACCACTAGTACTATTACTAGTACTATTTCTAGTACTACTAGTACTAGTACAACTACAAGTACAAGCTTATCTACGACTACTGCAACAACCAAAGCAACAACCACAACCACTCCCACTGCCACTACCACTACGACTACTACTCCTGCTGCTACTGTCGAACTCCTCCTACTTCTACTCCTACTCCTACTGCTACAATACTCCGACTCGTACTCCTACTGCTACGGCTACTGTTACTGCTTCTGCTACGGCTACTGCTACTGCTTACTGCTCCTGCTATTGCTACTGCTGCGACGACGACGACTACTGCTACAGTGACTTAGTTTGCCTTCAGGGTTTTTTGATGTTGAGTTGGCACTGAGCAACCGTTTAGTTTCGGCAGAAGACTCTGGTTGATAGTTGATAGCTTTTCCGTTCGGCTCCGGTTTCTGCAGGCAAGACAGCGACACGCCGTAAAGTTGTAAAGCATACATGTTCTCTGTCCGATTGGCAGCGGCAAGTATGCGAACTCAAGAAGATCAAACTGCGGCCGCGATTGGGCGTGAAGCGTTTGAGTGATTCTGTGACCTGCCTTCACGCAGGCCCCACTACATCCACAGCCCTGGGCCTTTGAACGTCCCAGTGCCGGCCTCGTGCTTCTGTTTGAGACTGGTACTTGGAGTGCCCAAGCCGAGAGAACTCCCAGAGAATTCCTGGAGCGCCCAACAAGAGAAGCAGAGAATCTAAAGGGGACTACATTGAGATTCCTTGCCAGTTTTAGGGAAACGGCGGGCTGAAATCCTGGGTGCAGGGTTGTGTAGACTATACCAGGGAAATTTGTTGAAAGAATACCGAGATTGACGGAACTTGTGATTCGACTCTGCCGCTGTATGCAGTACGCGTTTGATTGGGTGTGTGACTGGGAGGACGCCGGGGATTGTAGTCAGGGTCGAGGGTCCTCGTCAAGGGAATGCCACAGATTGCGCAAGAGAATGCCTGAGACATAAAGATAAGATTTGTTGGACGGCAGTTAAGACGTGCGCCACTTTCTCGAGAGCCGCCATGTCCTCTCCGGCACCTGGGGGATGAGAGTTGAACGATGCACTCCTGCGGCGTGTTTTTTCTTACTGCTTGCATCGGGTGTTTTTCTTGGTACTTGGAAGAACGCCCGGACTTTACCAGCCCTGCGCGAATTTACAAGCTCAGTTCCAGGTCCAGCTCCAGCTCCAGCCGTTGATGCCCTGGCAAGTCCACAAACCATGCAGGCGGTGGACATCTCCCCAACGGTCCCTCCAACCCAGTCAGAATTTGACTTCACGCACGTTCAAGATCTACTTGCAGGCATCGTCGGGTCGCAGGGGCCGGCGCCGACGCAGACGCAAATGGAAGAGACCTGGAGGCCGCCTTCGCCCGCGAGTGTCGCGGCTGTAACAGCGACGACAACGGCTCCAACGCCTGTAACGGCTCCGGCTCCGCCCCTTGGCACAGAGCCTCTGCGAAAAACTTTGAAGTTTATACATATTACCAAGACTGGTGGGACGGCCATCGAACAGTGGGGGAAAGAGCATGGCCATCGCTGGGGTATGTATCACAAGGAGTACAAGGTGCCTGGCAGGTATCCGCCAGCACCATGGCACCACTTCTTCCCTGAGTTAGACGCGGAGCTGCGGCATCGATACGACTGGTTCATGGTGGTTCGAGATCCTGTGGACCGGGTGATCTCCGAGTACTATTGTCCTTGGGCAGGTTCCCCGAGTGTCAAGACCGACACAGTGCAAGATTTCAACCGCTTCATTTTGCGAGGCCTGCGTGACAAACAGATGTGGGCGACGTACCACTGGGCGCTCATGTCCAGCTACCTGGACAGCACGTCAGTTCAGCACGTTTTGAAGAACGAGAATTTGGAGTCCGACTTTGGGAAGTTGCTGCGGATCTATGGGATCCCTTTCGACCGGCTGTACAGAACGAACAAAGCGAGAGTTGGAGGACACAAGTTCGGTCGTGAACACCTCTGGCAAGAGATGCTCGGCTTTTCGTGCTTTAGCATAGGTTAGTTGCGGCCTGCATCATAGTTATTATAGCTGTGTTCGCAAGATGCGCCTGAATAGTTATGTCTTTAGTAACGGGGCTCGGCCACAAACGTCGAAACTCTAAGCTCTCCTTTCTCACCTTTGATGTGGAGAGTTGGTTGAAGCCCAGCTCACATGAACCGAGGAAGATCTGCATGCATCTGTAGCAAGACCAGTGTACGGACTGGTGATGCTCCTGATGTTGCAGAAGATGTTTCATGTAGAAGGCATGCTTTTCGAGCCTGACTTTAGCGACGTTCTCCTCTGTTGTCGGTTTTGTGGAATGATGTATTGTGTGTCTGCCGTATCTCGAGGCCCCTGCACTAGTGGATTCTCTGTACTCTGCAGCTTCGTTCTTTGCCAGCGCCGTAATCATCGGCACGTTTCGTTTGCCTTTGATGTCGTTTCACCTGGTGGTATTCGACGAAGTGCCCTTTTAGGTGACTTTCAGAACTCTTGCTTAGCTGCTTGGTGCAGGCGGGAATTGCTTGGTTCTGGAGCTTGCTTTCCGCCACTGGTTTCCATTCAAACTCAGAAGCCCCGAGTCCAAGGACGATTCTGCAGATTTGCGAAACCTACGCGGACGACTTTGAGGCTTTCAACTACAGCATGCCTTCGCTGTGCTCGCCTGCAAGATGAGGGGCGAGAGGTCCGGGATGGGTTGGTGTGGCTTTTGCTGGGACAGCTTTAGAGTCGCCTTGCCTGCAATAATTTGCAAGTTGCACAGGCACTCAAAGGATTCACCAAGTCCCAGATTCGCGGTTGCAGAAACACTGCAGCTCCATAGCTCCGGATGTCAACATCACCACAGACTGCGCACAAAGTTGGCGCTTGTGGCAAAAAGACATGCCATCGGGCATGAGCGAAGGGCCAGGACAAGGCAATTGCAATGGCCGTGATCGGAAGGGGCATTGGGCGTAGTAAAGCAACCGCAGTGGAAGAGGCTTCATGTTCCCACGTTTGATGTCGATTGTCATTATTTGGCCACTCTGGACTATTGAATTCAAACGAGTTCTTATAGTATTTGTTGGTTCAGGTTTCACTTTCAACTGTGATTCTGTGGGAAGCGCGACGGAGCTCCTCCTGTCAACCTTTCACCTAGTCGTGCCATTTTCGATGGACACCTCTCAGTGTAAAGCTCAAAACTGCCCATAGCTGGCTGAGCAGGTGGAGAATGCGTTCTTGGAGCGGCTGGAAGTTTCTTGCCGAACGCCTAGCACTGCAGAGCACAGCCGGAGTCACGGCATGAGGCGGCATGAGGCTACCTGCTGCTGCTAGCTGCTAGCTCCGACCCGTGAAGCAGACTCGAAGGTTCCGCAGTTGTAGCCTAGATTCACATGTGCTCAGCGAAACACTGAACTTACGTCGGTTCTACGGATTTTTGAGTCCCGTTCTGTCGCTCGAGGCCTCCGCCCTGCAGGTTTCAAGCTTGAATTGCCGCCCAAGACGGTCCTATGAAATAGCTTGCAACATGAAAAGCAGACATTGACCGGTGCCTCGCTATGGCTTGGCCGAGCTTCTGCCTTCTCTTGGGCCTGGCATCCACAGGCATGGTCTTTTTCTTCTCGGCAAAGCTTTTTCATCCAAGACCCATCGGGTCACCCTGGTCAGGCGAGAGCGCTACCGGCTTGGCGTCGATACTTGACCGCACTGCTCTGCTCCATTCGAGGGGCTTCGAGGGAGGTTTACTTGCTTCATGACAGAGCAGCCCAGAGAGACAGGTCGAAGCTCTCTACAGTAGTCTGGTGCCGCTCGTGCTGAGGCCGCGCTGGCGTCGGATTCCGACAGGATCGGTGCGGCCAGGTGGGTGGCTGAAGGCTCCGGAAAACTGCAAAGCTGGAAAGCTTCCCGAATGGGCAGCGGGGTCGTTGAAAGGGGGCGCAGAGTCACTGAATGGTGTGTTGCTGAATGTTGAAACGGTTTCCTGAGAGCATTGTCATACTGTCATACTTGTCGAACCCTCGTACATTGCCAATATAGCGGAGGCTCAAAGTCTGGCTCTGCCGTGCTTTCCTCCCATCTCTCTCTCTCTCTCTCTCTCTCTCTCTCTCTCTTTCCTCTTTCCCTTTCTGTCTGTCTGTCTGCCTGCCTGCCTGCCTGGCCGCCCGTCCGGCCGTTCGCGCGCGCTCGCTCGCTCGCTCGCTNNTCTCGCTCTCGCGCTCGCGCTCGCGCGCTCTCTCTCTCTCTCTCTCTCTCTCTCTCTCTCTCTCTCTCTCTCTCTCTCTCACTCTCTTGCATCGTTTTTGCTGTCAACTTATTGACCTGCCGTTGAGTCTCCGTTTGGTTTGGGAGATCGAATTCAAGGGCTTTGGAATGATAGAGTTGATTTCTCTTTCCAGAAACCTCTTCAAAAATGCCTGAGGCGCAGCTGGAGTTGCAGGCATCTGCATTGACGTCACACCTGCCGTTCTTCTGGGACAACATAAAGGAGACTTCTTGGCTCGGTGGGAATTATGACAGCACCGCCAACATCCACCAAAACACGCCCTACTGGCTAAATGGCGCAGTGCCACTCCATCTGCAGGTGGACAACCCTGTTTTGGCAGCAGTGGTCGAGGACTATGTGTTTCGTATTTTGGACCGGCAGGCTGCCGACGGATGGCTTGGCCCGGACACTGACCGGTCTGACTTCTATTCCCGGTATCCCTTCCTGTTGGCCATGGTCCAGTATCACGAGGGTCTTCCCGACGGAGAAAAGCGTGAACGTATCCTCCAGGCGGTGCTGCGCTTTTTCGCGGCAGTGCGAGAGAGGATTGATTCGGGCCTCTTGGTCACTATCTACTCGTCCTTAAGAGCTCCCGAATTCATCTTCGTCATCCACTACTTCGTGGACTTCTTGACTGCGTCTGGACGGGACGCTCAGGACTTCCTCGACCTGGCAGAGAAGGCGCCTCGGCCTCGCCCCATACTGAATTGATCAAGCGACTGTGAAGCTTGTTTCTAGTCACAGGGCTTTCGTGCAACTGGGAAGAGAGTGCATACCACTGCCCTCCAGGTTTACTACGGCTCTTTCGACTGGAACAGCATGTGGTTCAATTCGAGCTTCTTTCCAAGAACGCCCTTGCCAAAGTTCGTGTCGTCCGAATCTAATGGTGTGAGCAACGCGCAGGCTGTGAAGCGGGGGGTGGTCTGGGGCCGCCAGTCTGGTGGCACTGCCGCCGGCTTCGCGGAGTCTTGGTTCGCCTGGGAGCAGCTGCAGCGTTTCCATGGGCAGGTCCATGGAGGCTTCGGTACCGACGAGCAGCTGGCGGGACGGATGCCATCGCGCGGCATGGAGCTCTGCGCCGTGGTGGAATCCATGTGGTCCATGGCCCTGGCTGCCCAGCTTGCTCCAACGGACGGGCAAGCAGCAGAAGCGTTGGACTTTTTGGAAAGCTTAGCGTTCAATGCATTGCCCGGAAGTCTCAGTGACGACCTTTGGTCGCATCCCTACCTGCAGTTTGTGAACTCCTATTTGGCAGTTTCGAACCAGCCCCAACATATTTGGGCCAGCGATGGTCCACAGGCAGCCATGTATGGCCTTTCACCGAACTTCGAGTGCTGCACCGCCAACTTCCACCAAGGCTATCCAAAGTTTACTTCAAGCCTCTTCTTCGAAGATCCCGTCGAAGAGCAACTCATCTCAGCCGTTTGGGCGCCCAGCGTGGTAAATGCCAGTGTCGGGCAGGCCCGGGTCGAGCTCCGCACTTCCTATCCCTTCAACACGTCCCTGGAGTATTGGATCCAGAATTTGAAGCCCTTTCTTCTGAAAGTGCGCCTTCCGAAGTTCCTCCGCTCCCTGGCAAACTTTGAGCAGTCGCTGCACTGCTGGCTGGAGGGTCGTCCTGTGCACCTCCTGAAAGATCCCGGGATGCCATTCATCCGCGTTCGCATTCGTAGTGAGTTCATTGCACTCTCAGTTCTATGTTCTCGTGTGCAAGTAGCAGCAACATCCGTCGATCTGTGACATGCTCGATTGCGCTCGCCCTTTCTGTGCAGCACTCCTCCACCTCATCTCTTTCAAGTTGCTTTCCTCCTCAACTCTGTTTGCTCGCCGCTCTTGGAGCATCTTTCGTCTTGTTTCTTTGGGTGGCCGTCTTGGCAAGGCCAGTAGTGCAAAGCAGAGTGCGTCTAAGGAGCCGCAGTTCGTGAAGGACGGGTTTCTGCTCTTCCACATCTCGGCCTCAGAGAGCAATCGCCTTGCCGTTCGGATCGAATTCCCCATGGCGCCTCGTCTTGAAAGGTCGGCAGACCAAGGTGTCTCGGCCTTTTTGGGACCCCTGTTGCTGGCACTGGACCTGGCGGAGCAGCATCGCTCGGTTCACTACTACGGCTTCGCCTCCTCGGACTGGAACATCACGGCGAGCCTGCCCTGGCGCCTGGGGATGCCCTCGGATCCCAAGCTGACGGTGACCAAAATGGCCAAACCCGGCGAGAAGCCGATGTCCAACAGGGACTGCCCGGTACGGGTGGAGGCCAGCCTCAAGGAGTTGGCCGAGGAGGACTGGCCCGAGGAGCACGGAGCACCGGGGCGCTTGAATCGCAGCTTCCATCCAAAACCGCCCAAGGCCGTGAGACGCAGCCTGCTCCCTTACGGCTGCAGCTCCATTCGCATCGCTGCCTTTCCTGCCTTGTCCTTGTCCGAAGAGTAGAATGCTTGAGAAAGTCAGAGCGGGTGGAGAAAGAATGGCTTTGTGCTATGAAAGCCAGGGGGGTCCAGAGACCCGAAAATCCTTTTCCTTTAGCCTCAGCTCTACACCACTCATTGAGGCCTTGGCAAAGACCAGGGAGGGCGTTTGCCACGGCCAAGGCTGGAAACCACGGAGGCCGGTTCTTTTCTGTGAGGCTTCCATGATGTGGCGTAGGCTCTTCAGGGAAGATAAGAGACAACCTGGAAGTGCTAGGGTCTCCTCCTTGGCAGTGCCAGCCCTCAACTTCTCTCCGTGTCCCGAACGACTGCGCAGCAAAAGGAGCTACCTCGTCAGTGTCGGATCAAGCAGGAGAGAAGTCTGCGAAGTTCACAGCCAAAGCTTATGGCTGGCGCAAGATTCGTCGCGCTGCTGCTGGCCTGCCTGCTACGTCAGCAGGTTGACTGTGCAAGGATTGGTGGCCAGTCCGGGAGCAACCAAACCGTGGCAGAGCCCGTGAGCATCGCTCTTGGCATTTTGGGAGCTTTGGGCTCAGTGTACTCGATGCAGAAGTCCTGGCAGACGCACCTTGGTCGCACTGCAAGCTCCCGCAGCAGACGGATAGGTCCCATGTCTAGCGGCGCCTCCTAGGTGCCTCCTAGGCACGCCGACAGTGACTAAACTTGGACCCTCCTAGTCGTAGCCTGGAGGATCAAGAGAAGCAAGGAGCAGGATCTTGCGGCGACGAAGCTTGTCCAGGACATGGCAGAAACTTCGCGGGAACACTGCAGATTGCTCAGCAGCATCGATGCCATGCTCTACAACGGGCAGCTAGGCCTTGAGGAGCTCCTCCAGAACGATGCGGCAGAGCCGGAGGCACCTGGGCTAAGGGGCTTTCTCCCCAACATTAGTGACGAGAAGCTCCGGCTTGCCAGGTACGCCAGGCCTGTGCAGATGAGAAGAGACTGGAGCACATGCAAGACGTGATGGTGCGCAGCCTTCGCGAAGAATGCTTGCATCTGGAGCGCCTCT